TAGCGTAGTGCTTACTTAATTAAGCGCAGAGACAACTTATCCCTTCTTATGTGACGTGTAGTACGCTTAATATAAAGAACACCTTTACATCTGGGTCTCCCAGCAAGTAGCCTAATCGCTATACCGACTGAGCTAGGCTAATTACGTGTATGTACCATGAGAAGGAACATGTTCTGCGATTTGGTTCGCGCATTTCTGGCGTCTTTCCTCTTCGCTCCCACTTTGGAGCGTAGGGCTGATTTCTCGGTTTCATGATCATTTTACAGATGGTAGGAGTCCTTGGACGAGTGATAAGCTCGTCGCAAGGCCTATACTTACACACAGGTCAACACAGACACAGAATAAACGCATACACACACTAAACATCCATGCCTTGTGTGGGATTCGAAACCACGACCCCTGCTTTCGAGCGAGCGAAGAAAGTGCATGCCTTAGACCGCTGCGCTACCGTGACCGGCTCCGTGATTAATACCGTTCCCATAATTACTTGATATGGGTGTACAGTATGTCTGCATTTTTGTAAGAGGCTAATTACTTTTTCTCCGTACGATACGCTCCGCTGCTTGTTTCTCTTCTCCTTTTGACCGATACGCGTTTTAGCATCTAATTGTTACATGAGGAAGCAAAGCGAAAGAGAACACACGCCTGTCGAGGGACAAAGATTGTACCCTTTTAAAGTAATTTTATTTGTATTATCTACGAAGATAAATTGGTCTCATAATGAGAAGCCTTTCCGCTTCACCATCTACAAAGATTGGATGCTCTGAAGCGAGTTCAGTGATTCAGAAGTTTGAAAACTGTCTTCATCTCCTAGGTCTTCCTGTATCGCTTCTTCCTCTTGCATGCGTGTGTGATGTAACCTTAGACGCCACGTCTCCTGTCTTCAGTTTAACCGATACGACGCAACTTTATGGAGCACGCTGGTTCTTGAGAAGCGAAAAAGAAATGTTAAAAGGCAACCGACGTTTCGGAGGGATATTTTGCCTCCGTTATAAGTGTTGAATAGTAAGTCAGGAAATGTGCATTAAGCAGGCAGCAAACCGCTCCACAGTCTAATGATAATAATAATAATAATCATGAAGTTGTCCCTGTGCTTAACTAATTAAGCACTACGCCATGAAGACGTATGGAGGTGTGGATGTATAGGTTCATACTTTCTTGACCTCGTCACTCGTTGGACGTGAGTGGTTAGCGTCACGCCCCAGCCGCTTTATCCCTTGAATAGGAGGCTGAATGGGATCCAGAACCGGTCTGAACGCTGTGCAGAGGAGGAAAATTTTTCCCCTACCAGGACTCGAACTCCAACCCTTTGGCCGTCCAGCCCTCTCCACACTCTGACAAATGTTGATATGTAGGGTTTAGTAAGGAGTCGAGATAACTCGGACGGTATAGCGTCCGGCTGCGGGTTGGACAGCTGAAAAATAAGGGTTCGATTCGGGATAGAAGATATTTTTCTTCTCCACAACGGCCATGTTAGCTCTGGGATCCACCCAGCTGCTGTTCAGTCAGTACCGTTTGTGGCATGAAGATGACTATTCACCGTCATTTGGGTTAAGAGCGCGTGGAGTTATACCTTCACTACACCATACGCCTTCATGGCGCTGTGTTTAATTAATTAAGCGCGTGCGCAGCTTTGCCTCTTACCTTTACAGAGTGAAAGATGTTGAACCCCGTCTATCTATCTGTCTGTGGCTGTACAGCCCCCCCCCCCCTGTTGGGCCTTTGCCGCTTTTCAGTTTCTTAATCCCATACACAGACGGTAGGACTCCCTGGACGAGGGATCAGCCCGCCGCAAAGCCGCTACCTGCACATAGGACAGCACAAACAGAATAAATGCACACACATCCATGGCTCAAGTTGGATTCGAACCCACGATACCAGTGTTTTAGCTGGCGAAGACAGTTCATGCCTTAAACCGCGTGTTGACTTCTAGGCAGGCGCAAATAGGCGGAGACGCTGGCGTCGTTTTGAACCAAATCGTGCGCTCACGCATTAAACTGAGTTTCATATGAAATGAAGGTTTCAAAGTTTCGGGAATTGATAATAAGAACAAAGGAAACGCTTTCAGTTGCAATTCTGTTTTTTTTTTTTTCAATTATTATGAGTGAAGGCACAATTAAATTATTCTCGGGTTCTTCGAAATTTAACAACAAAAACTAGAGTGGAACGGAAATATCTCGTTTTGGTATTCTAATATAAACACAGACTCTAATTAACCTGCGTAGAGACAAACTGCGAGCCACACACAGGGATCAGTTATCCTGCAGTTGCGTGCTGCAATGTTACAACCCTTTGCGAAAGTATTTTTTATTGCTAGTGGGGTGGGACTAAGTCCCTTGTACTGCGGCCGCTTTTGGTCTATTGTACCAGCCCCAGATGATAGGTGAGGGGGATTGTGCAGCAATTCGTGGAATGAAGATTGGCAGGGGAAACCGAAGTACTTGGAGAAAACCTGCCCCAGCGCCACTCTGTCCACTACAAATCCCACTTGACCAGACGTGGGATCGAACCAGGGCCGCCCCGATGGGAAGCCAACGACTAACCGCTTGAGCAATGGCGCGGCCTCTGTGAGAAAGTAAGTCCGCAAATCACACAAATTTTTCCCACACAAGTGTAGGGGTAGTTCTCGTATCGACCAATACACTTTCCTTCCAAATCCAACGCTGTACTGCTGTGCTGGCCTGCACCAGGACAGTCATAATTGGTTTCGGGCAACTTTACCTTTACCAGGGGAGAGTTTACCTTTTATATACCAATCCACTTTCTTATTAAGTCACTTACTGACTGGATCATAATTAGCGCCGAACAAGTCATTTAAGCTTCATGACACCATAATAGATGCATAACAGGTTATGACACCAAGTGTCAAAACGGCTTTCAGTGCAGGCTAATGCCAGCCCCGCATTTGTGTTCCAGCAGAGTTCCGATGCGGCACCCCACCGCCCAAAAGTGTTGTGGCATGAGGTTTGTCGATATCTGACCTTCCCTATATAAATGGCCTACATAAATAACAGTTACCGAAGAATGAGTAGTAGAGTGTCACGTGTTTACAGCAAAATGTTCATGAAAATAAATGAAGGGGGACAAGCGGTAGCGTAGTTGGTTGAGGCACTGTGCTACAAGCCGGAAGGTCGCAGTTCGATCCCCAATGACGTAATTGGATTTTTCAATTGACCTAATCCTTCCAGCCGCGCTATGGCCCTGGGATCGACTCAGCCTCTAACAGAAATGAGTACTAGGAATATTCCTGGGGAGTAAAGCGCGGCCGGCGCGTAAGGCTGACAAACTCACCGCCATCTGTGAGCCGATTGTTTAGAGAAAATGTGGGAACCTCGACGTCACACAGCCATATGGGCCTTCACGGCCTGTTGCAGGGATAGCTTCACCTTTTTTATACATTTAATGGGTAGTAAATAATAAAAGTAAATATTATCTTTATTACCCATTTGTGTCTACAGTCAGCACAATATGTACCTCAGTTACACAGTGGCTGCGAGACATGAAAGCACTCATACGCATGCGTCACTCATCTGAAAGACACACACATACACACATACCATTTTGTTTCGGTTTGTCTATTGCATTTCATAAAAGCCATTCATTTCCTTTTGTTATCAATCATTATTCTGTCAGTGGCATTTTATTGTGACAGTAATTCCCCGAAAGTTGATGAATAGCCAATTAATGAGAATTTCTCCGTTCTTTTTAATTAACGATTACAGGATACCACATCACAATTCCCTTGATACTAAACCGACGCTGATTATATTTAAAAACGCATTAAGTACAGAGTCATATATTCGGAAAGCTTCCGTAATTATTAAATTGAGTGAATTATGGTTCTGGGTTCCAGAATGGTATCAGCAGTTAGGACTGAATGCTATAGAATCTATAGTAAGGCCACGGAAAGATGTCCCAGTTGTTACGACTTTGCTCTCCGGCGTCCTTCGCTATGTCCCCTTCTATTTGAGCCATTTTGTGTGCAGAATGTTGGTAGACTGACTTCCGTTTCGGAAGACCCCCCACTCTTCCGTGCGCAGAAATGAAATATTGAAGGCAGGACTTGGCAGGTGGGGGAGCGAGAGAGACGGACAACAGACAACAGTACCTCAGCTAGCCTTATCTCTCTCACACCCTCCCCTCTCACGCATATGGGCAGGGTACTTGCATTGCTGAAGAACGAGAAAATCAAGTGTGACAAACTTTCGCTAAAATGCTGAGTTAATAAAATCACTTTACGTGTTTCGGTCCCATGGGACTATCTTCAGAGGCTCGTGCAATAAAAAGAGATTTATTATGGGTACATTTAAAATCATCTGAAAGTATTAACATTATGTTGTATGTTGAGTAGTTTCTCTTTTTTTCGCACTTTCTTACATAACTGACTCGGTTGCCGCAATTGTCTTCCTCATAACCCCTTTGCAAGGACGCATAGACAACCCCGTTCTTTCTTGTATCCGTTGCCCCGGGACGTTTTTACCGAGCTGTTTTATAGCAGCAGTCGTCTGTTCTTGCTTATTAAGGATTTGCTCTCTAGCAACGGGCGTCATTCCGCTGTCTGTTTCGCGGCCGTTGCCTAGAAATGGATGTTATTTTCTAGCCATTTGTTAGCAACGGCTGTTTCTCTGGCTCTACAGTTCTTGCTTTGAACAAATATGCCACAATATAATTTACATTACATTAAACTGGTACCCAAAACAATGTGGATATTGTGGTGTGACCAGAACTGGGGAGGGAGCGCATGCGCGTGCTACCAGGACGAGAGGAACGGAAGGGAAACGGGGCGTACTGTGAGACGAGACTAAGTTCTGTGCTGCCAGCCACACGACGTATGGAGAGAACAGTGAAGTGGTGCGCGGTGAAATAACAATGAACAGATGCAACCAGCATCAAGATCTTAAGCAGCTGCTGATAGCTTCTCTTGCGAAATACGATCAGTGTTATAATACTCGTGCATTAGAATTGAGTGGTTTAGTTGTGTTTGTATTGTTGCAGGTTGAGGTTCAGGCCTCGGTCCAGCAAGATGATCGTCGAGCTGCAGCGCTCTGTTCCTCTTCTCGGCGGTAAGTAGCGGTGTCATAATCTCTGGTCTTTGCGTTTCCTCTTCTGTCTTCATCTCTGACCTTTGAATTTACTCTTGTTTCGTCATCTCTGGCCTATGCTTTCCCTTAGGTGTCATCATATTTGGTGTTTGCATTTCCTCTGGTCTCATCATCTTTGGACTTTGCATTTCTTCTTCTCTGGCATTTGAATTTCTTATGGTGTCATAATCTCTGACCCTTTTTCTTCCTCTGATGTCATCATCTTTGGCCTTCAAGTTATCGAACGATACGTCGAGGCCGAGGTTTAAAGCAATCTGCCATGAATAACACGCGCTAATAGTCAATCGTAAAAGGTCTTTTTGCAACATACTACACATCACATGTCCACATCAAAATAGAATGAGTACTCATAAGATATACAAGATACACCGAAATAAAAACTTGCTCCCTCGTTCGTGAAACTCGTTAACGTTCAATAGTTCGCTACTGCTGTCTCAGAAATTTCGTAATGACAATGACAAATCTCATGATTACACAGCACCTAGCTATATATATATAAAACGAAACAGCGCCTTGGCACTGATGTCCATATCAGTAGAAGGCCACAGTATGGACCCCACCCTGAGAAACCGAAACAATTTTACGCCTATGTAGCAAAAATAGAATATATGCTGCCCTCGCATCTGCTTCTAGGTCTCCAAAGTTCCTTTGTGCGTTTCTCTTCCTCCCACTCATACTACATGTCCAACCCACATCCGTATTAATTCAATTACGATTATCAGGATTAACCGGTTGGTCCTTGATTTTCTGTGAGATGAGAACCAAATTTTTACATATTACACGCACATGGATTCCTGATTTCATACCATTAAAATCTGCGTCCACATGAATGCGCAATACCGGAACGTCCATATCATGTAATTTCCTCAGTGGAGTTTCAGTACTGTTACTTGGAAACACAGAATGGCCACTTCTTGCTAAATACTGCTTGTTATGTATGAGAACACGCAGCGGGCGGGAAGGATTGATGCTGCCTCATGACGTCAGGCTGATGGTGATGAACTGTCTGCCTGTAGAGACGACTCCCGCATGAGCTGCTACGAGTAGATGATCGCAATGCCTCTGCTCACAGCTGTCACCGACATAAACGCATCATCTGCTGATGGCTAAGTGATACATCACTTCACTTACTTCAGGCATGAAGAAATACTTACTCTAATGGGATGATAATGTTGTCAGAGGCGTTGACCTAATCATTCCAGCCGCACTATGGTCCTGGGATCGACTCAGCCTCTAACAGAAATGAGTACCAGAAATCTTCCTGGGCGTTGAAGGGCGGCTCCCACGTTTTCTAGACAATCGGCTCACACATGGCGATTAGGTTGTCAGCCTTCCGGCCGTCCTTTACTCCCCAGGAAGATTCCTGGTACTCATTTCTGTTAGAGGCTGGGTCGAACCCAGGCCATAAATGCGTCTGGAAGGATTAGGTAAATAGAAAATTATCCAAAGACATCGGGAATCGAACCCGCGAACTTCCGGCTGTAACATAGTGCCTCAACCAACTACGCACTACTGCGTACATTGTTCGCTTTATAAATAGTTTAAGTTTATTCTGTCCTGAAGAAAGAGGCGTCAGGTACATCCGACATGATGGTAACGGTTTATCATGGTATACAACGTGACATCTCAGAACACAATATCTCTGGTCTCGAAGTTCTGTGCAAAGTCACGAAATGTCGCAGCAAACTTTCAGCAGATATGAGTTTTTGTCTTTCGTAAAGAGATGTTGTGTGACATAGAGCCCGGGTTTATGAAACGGGACAGAAGCTACAACAAATAAAATGGTTCAACAGGGAGGAGAGACGTAGAAACCCAAACAAAAGAATTCACATATTTCGTATTGACCACAAAGCTATTGTCACTTTGTGTGGAGGTATAATATCAGATGGGGATGATTGGTAGCTATTATCGACCGAATGGGACCATTACATCGGCCTGGAAAGAAGAAAAGAAACATTTCTGTTGGAGGAAAATATGTCTATCGAGCAGTCATTACCGGGCTACGAAAGTTCCATTTGCAGTAACTACGGCATCCATAAATCTCGCTACAGTCCGTGTGTATAGACCTGGCCGTTCTCAGCAGAATGCGCAGAGGAATTAGTGGAGTCCACAGAAGTAAGGATTGTAGAGTGGCCCTAGTTACGGCGCGACACACTCATCTCCCGCAGTGCAGCTAAACCACTGCCCATCTTCTTCTTCTTTGCCATGCTTCTCTTCGCGCGCAACCCAGGGGTCAGGTTTGAGAATGTAGCCTGTGCCTCACCCAAGATGAGGCACCATGCTGCAAACCGGAAGGTCGCGGTTTCGAGTACCGATGAGCTGGACTTTTTTCTTCAACTGACCTAATCCTTCCAGCCGCACTATGGCCCTGGGCTCGACTCAACCGCCATCTTCGAGTCGATTGTCTAGATTATATGGGAACCTCAACGTCTCACAACCCTATGGGCCTCCACGGCCTGTTACAGGGATATATATATATTATTTATTATATTATATTATATTATAGCTTTCGCTTTCACTCAAGATGAGCCGGGATATCGTATTCTGTAACGATTGGCTACGGGTAGGACGACGGAGGGGTCACAGTTCGAGTCCCGGTAGGGTCAAGTATTTTCTTTTCGCGGCGTCCAGACCGGCTCTGGGGCCCACCCAGCCCCCTGTACAAGGGGTAATGCGGCCGGGGCTTGAAGCTGACCACTCACCACCAGCTAGTGCCGAGGTCAAGAAAACGTGCCTCTATATAACCACTCCCACCTACGCTTTCATGGCATAGTGCTTAATTAGTTAAGCAAAGGGACAGCTTTACTTACTCACCTCACACAATAACTGGGGGTGTGTTAATGGCTCAGGGACTGATGGAGCAATGTGGAGCAATGAAGAAATGACGAATAGCCTGGGAGACACGAAGAACTTCGGAGAAGAACATCCTCTGTCGCTACTCCCGTCGCCATGTGTCTCACATGAAGTCACACGGGATTATCTGAAGGTTGCGAAGGAAGATGCCAGAGTCTCACTGTTTGACCTGTTTGCTGCCTCAACTCTGATGTAGTAGAAACTGGTAAACGTCGCACGTGTTTTTATTTCATTATAAAATCTATTAAAATGTTGGTACCAGTGAGCTTATTTTTAATTTATGCATAATTGAATTATTAATTAATATTGTATGCAGAAGTTGTGTAGGCTGTATACCATGTGTGTATGCGGTAGTTAGTTAGTTAGTTAATAAGTCAATCAGTAAGCCAATTGTATATCATAATTTATGCCTGTAAGTTAATTGTGTCTCCAGACGCCGTGTCCATTTGTACCAAACGTGGCATAGGCAAGTCGGAAATGTCTCTAAGCATTTTCAGAGAAGAGAAGGTACATAGATAGATGCATACACAAGCTAATCAAAGAATGGTAAATTTATTTATAGTATTACTAATGTTTTGTTTTTATGGGTGTAAAACATGGTCTCTCACGTTAAGAAGAGACATGAAGCACGCATGAGAAGATGGCGCTGAGAACAATATGTACTCCTAGATGTTTGAAAAGTAGCAGGTGTCTGAAGAAATGAGCTTCATAATTTGTATTTATCGCCATATGCCTGAAGAAGAATACGCATTGAGCTTCATAATCTGTATTTATCGCCATATGCCTGAAGAGGAAAACGTAATGAGGTTCATAATCTGTATTTATCGCCATATGCCTGAAGAAGAATACGTCATGAGCTTCATAATTTGTATTTATTGCCATATGCCTGAAGAAGAATACGTAATGAGCTTCATAATTTGTATTTATCGCCATATGCCTGAAGAAGCATACGCATTGAGCTTCATAATCTGTATTTATCGCCATATGCCTGGAGAAGAAAACGTAATGAGGTTCATAATCTGTATTTATCGCCATATGATATTGGGATTATCAACGAGTATGAGATGGCTGGAGCGTGTAGCGCGTATGGGACAAAAGGAGAAAATCTGAAGTAAAGATATCACCAGAAACTCAGTAGTATTTGTACTTCATAGCCTACTTTCTTTATCTAGAAGAATAAATAAATATAGGCTTACGCGATCTCCACACTGTTTGTGTGTCTATGTCCGTATCTCTCTCCCCCAATCAGCATTTGAAGGTACGGATTTTTCAGAAGAAACTACTGCCTCCATCTTCAGTGTAGAAGAGTGAACCAAGCGAGCGGGCAACGACGTTGCTTGCTACTAGCAGGCTCTCGACATATCCCAGAAGGGACCGCTGCAAGAACCTCAGATCATACGAATAGAGTTTCTCAGTTCGCCGTTTAGTTGAACCTCAGCCAGCCACACGCGTCAGCAAAATGGCTTGGTCTGTGGACTACAGCTTCAGCAACTATTGCGGGAAGTTTCTAGTCCCCTGGGAGACGTCTGCAAAGGCAGACATGCTGGTGCATATGTACGGCCTTGACCGACTGTTTTAAGTGGCATTCAGCCATGACTTGTAGATCCAGCTCTGTCTATCTATAACTCTACAGTCTCCTATTGTTGGACCTTGGCCGCCTTTTCAGTTCCTTAATCCTATACACAGACGGTAGGACTCCTTGGACGGGGGATCAGCCCGTCACAAAGCCGCTACCTACATACAGAACACAAACACAGAATAAACGCACACAGACATCCCTGTCTCGAATGGGATTCGAAGCCAAGATCCCAGCCTTAGACCGCGCGGCCACCCTGGCCGTTCTAGAGGTAACGCAGTAGGCTTGTATTCTCTTGACCTGGGAACGAGTTGAAAGTGAGTGGTCAGCTTCACGCCCCGGCCTCTTTACCCCCGTGGAGAAGGCCCGAGGTTACCCATTGTATAGGAATCTCGGTGGGCCCTAGAAACGGTCTGGATGACGTGAAGAAGAGAAAATGCTTGACCCTACTGGGATTCGAAATCCGAACCGTCCGACATCCAGCAATGGCGTAGATTAAACAACGAACGCTTCCTTCCAAATCCTTTCCACATCATCATTCATCTGTCAACATATCATTGGGCACCGTCTATTCTACATACTGACAGCGTCGTTAAACGTCACACAAACCAAAGAGCAGACAATAGTTCTATGTGGCCTAGTATTTTCTTCTAAGATCCGAGGTTACGCAGATTACTCTGTCGCGCCGGTTCCTCGCTTGCGGAGTTTCTTCTTTTGTGTTCTACCCTGAAGATGGAGGCAATTCGTTCCTCCGAAACGTAGGTTAACACAATATCTACATGGCGCCACATCCCAGCAGACTGCTGTCTTCATAGTATTTCCTTTCCTGTCTAAGGCATGAACTGTCGTCGCCCGCTCGAACGATGGGGCTGTGGGTTCGAATCCCACTCTGTATGCATTAGTTCTGTGTGTAGGTAGCGGCCTTTCTTTTTAATTCGCTTAGTTGGGGGTGGACTCCAACTGGGTCCACTCGGCACGGCGGCCACTGATTGGCCTATTGTAGCCTGCCCCGCGTGATTATGATGATGGAGAATTTGGTGGAATGAGGATTGGCAGGGGAAACCGAATTACTCGGGGAAAAACTGCCCCAGCACCACTTTGTCCATCACAAATCCCACTTGACCAGACCCGGGCTCCAACCCGGTCCGCCGCGGTGGGAAGCCAGCGACTAACCTCTTGAGCTATGGCACGGCCTAGGTAGCGGCCTTGCGACGGGCTGATCCCCCGTCCAAGAAGCCCTACCCACTACGAACAGGATTAAGAAACTGAAAAAGCGGCCAAGGTCCAACAGAAGAACTGTAGATAGAGAGATACATAGATAGAGAAATGGATAGATAGATAATTAGATACATAGATAGGGAGATGGATAGATAGACAGTATTTTCTGTCTACGGCTTGTCCTCTTACGCTGTCATTGTTTCGAATGGTAGGATGGAAGATAGAATGACGAAGAACTGGAAAGGATTTGGGTACTGTCTTAAAGATGGAGATGAGTAGTCGGGTTCACGTCCCGGCCGCTTTACCCCCTCAGATATAACTACAGTTTCCGTTGGATACGAAGCAAAGTAGGCTGCTGTGGGGATGAAAAGAATCACTGTTCCTGCTGAGAATGGAACGCCGATTTACTGGTCGTTCAGCCCTTAACCTGCTCACTACAAGGAATGAGTTGTCCCTCCCCCACGAAATGATATAAAAATAAACTCTTTAAAGGGCAGGAATTAAATTTGGTGCTTTGGCTTTAAGTTATGTAAATCGGTAAAGTTGTCCCTGTGCTTAATTAATTAAACACCAATCCATGAAAACGTATGGGGGGAGCGGAATAACTCCGCGTTTCTTGACCTCGCCATCGAGGTGAGTGGTAAGCTTCACGCCCCTACCGATTTACTCCCAGAGAAATAACCCCTGGTACCCATTGGATAAGAGGCTGGGTAGGCCGTCTAGACGCTGTGGAATAAAGAAAAATCTGTTACCCCTCCCAGAAATCGAACCCCGGCCATCGATTCCGAAGCCCGTGGTTGTACCACCTGAGCTCTCCCGGCTATCGTTATTTCACTAATACTGATGAATTTATGTGTGTTCACAGACTGCCAGCTCTCCCTTTGGCCGACTCGTACCAACGTTTCGTGGAAAGCCTTTCCTCGTCAAACAAAAGACTGTCAAGTGTTCTTCCCTGGCTCGACCGCTGCCGAGACGGATCGCCGCGGTCTGGTTGTCGAACTAACGCGCCTCAACGTGCCGTGCCCCGCAGGAGACTTTCTTCAGTTCTCTTCTTCTTCAGTTCCTCAAAGCGCGAACTCTTCTGCTGCTCAGAAACCCACAGTTCCTTCCAGGGCCGCTAAAAGTCGTCACCAACAATTGTGCGGGAAACTCGAAGAACTTCCCCCTTCCGGTCGTCGGTTCTACTTCCCAGCATCATCGTTATCATCAGCAACTTCTTCGGTAACGCCTTCTCTCCACCTTCACGGAAACCCCATTTTTGCTTTCACATATCGCCTAGTTGATTACTGTTACAACGTAACTCTAACATCGAAAAATGACACTTTGCTTCTACGGCCTACGGCAGGTCTGCACTGCACTTTCAGAATTCATCTACCGTATGGAAATCGCATATCTCTTCACCTGCAGACTGGAGAGGTACGTCTTCTGAGCGCAGAAGAACACGGACGTCATACGTCTGAGCACCACCCGGTAACACCGCAAGGCTCGCATCAGGACTTGGCGCTCACACAGCTTGCTTACAGCGATCCTGACCCGCCATGCTCCGGTATGCTGACCCGTCTGTGGGACGGCGCATCCACGTGGGCGCATTGTACGAGGAAGGGGGATCCCAGACGTGATATCAGAGTGTTGTCACGTGAGAACAGTGTTACGTTGAGGGTTGTGATACATCAGGAGTCTGAACAGAGCGGTCAAGATACAGTGAACATCCCAGCGCTGAAGCTGTGGTACCATGCACAGGCGATTGCTGAAGTGGTGGAGCAGTGTGGCTTCGGGTGGGTGTCTGTGAGGCAGTTCTGCGTTACCGCTGTGGAGGATCTGAGGCTGCCCTGGCAAGAAGCTGAGATGGAATGCAACAGACGGGGTGGACATCTGGCTAGCATACGGAGTGAGCTGGCCCAGGATCTGGTGGACAATATGCTCCTTAACAGGTAGGATCTTGTGTGAATTTGTAGGCATGTCAGTCACTCATTCACGGAGCTCAGCCAATTGTGCAGCTACTCAAGAACTTCCCAGCATTTTATGGAACCCGAAGGTTCATTACCGTGTTCACAAAAGCCCTCCACTAGAGCAGCAGAAGTTCCAGCTGGGCTATCCGCCTCTTCTCGTTGCTACCCTGTTCTCTTATCGAGACAAACACTTCTCCATTTGTCTTGTTCTCTCGCTCTCCCTTCATCTGTCTTCCTGGCGCCTCTTGCCAGAATCTCAGGTGGAAGCCAAGTGTAATGGAATACAGTGCGTTTGTCTGTCAGGCCGTGAAGAGTGGGGAGAGAAGCGCCTCTCTTTGCAATTACAAATTTATACAGCACAGCAAACGGAAGGCTGCGAGGTAACAATTTTTTTTTTTATAATTTTAATTCTTCGTTTCCGCCCAAAGTTGTCTCCACCTTGTTGTGACCCTGTGACCTGGAGAGCTATGCCCCCGGTAGGGTCACCCATGCCGGAAAGGCCAAAGTGTAGAGTCGAGACTAAGAGAGATACCCTGGCCTTCCAGGTTGGGGTTGGGCATGAGGGTGACCTCATGCTGTAAAAAGAAGTTTGTTCAGAAACCTAACAACCAGCTTTGGGTCATCAGGCGTGGGTCAATTCCTATGGCAGCACGCTTTGGTTGTGGAGACTGGTTGTAGAGGAGGCCAAGGCTCACCCAGGGCTGTAGCGCCGAGTGTAGGGTAGGTAATTCTTCGATTGGAGGAAAGTGTTTAGAAGTGTTAGTGCATATGTGATTGAAGAAAATATTGCAGAGGACGCAGGGGTGGATATCGGATCATGACGGGTAGCACATGAAAGGTGTTTGTTCTAGCAGAAAGCGGTAAAATGAACGGCCCAAAAGACTTCGGTGCTATCGCTGTAAGTTACATAGAACACATAGCTAAGTATGTGTACACAGAAACTTACTATTTCCGGTTGATTTGCTATTGAAATGAAATATATTCCATTCTGAATCTTAAAATATGTTTTTTATGTATTCATAAGGGGCACCCGGTAGCGTAGTTGGTTGAGACACTATGCTACAAGCCGGAGGTCGCGGGTTAGAGTCCCGATGAAGTGGATTCTTTTTTCAATTGACCTAATCCTGCCAGCCGCACTGTGTCCCTACAGTCGATTGAGCTTCTAACATAAATGAGTACCAGGAATCTTCCTAGAGGTAAAGGGCCGCCGGCGCGTAAGGCTGACAACCTTACCGCCATCTTTGAGCCGATTGTCTAGATAATGTGGGATCCTCAACGTCTCACAACCCTATGGGCCTTCACGGCCTGGTACAGGGATAGCTTTACTTTTAGTATCAATATGTAAGGCAAAGCTATCCCTGTAACAGGCCATGGAGGCCCATAGTGCTGTGAGATGTAGAGGCTCCCACATTATCTAGACAATCGGCTCAAAGATGGCGGTAAGGTTGTCAGCCTTACGCGCCGGCGGCCCTTTACCTCTAGGAAGATTCCTGGTACTCATTTATGTTAGAAGCTCAATCGACTGTAGGGACACAGTGCGGCTGGCAGGATTAGGTCAATTGAAAAAAGAATCCACTTCATCGGGACTCTAACCCGCGACCTCCGGCTTGTAGCATAGTGTCTCAACCAACTACGCTACCGGGTGCCCCTTATGAATACATAAAAAACATATTTTAAGATTCAGAATGGAATATATTTCATTTCAATAGCAAATCAACCGGAAATAGTAAGTTTCTGTGTACACATACTTAGCTATGTGTTCTATGTAACTTACAGCGATAGCACCGAAGTCTTTTGGGCCGTTCATTTTACCGCTTTGAGAGAGAGAGAGCAGTTTCTGTTCCAGGAGGTACTGGGAAGAGGAACTAAACTTATGTGGTATCTCCTAAAACGATTTCGATCCTGGTCTCCGATCAGCCGCAGATCAGTGGAAGTATGGACTCGCGCTGTAAGCCAAGAAAACTGGGTGTCCTTCTGGTCAAGTCAGGTATCTGCCCACTCCACTAGGTTTTGAAGAGAAAATAAAAGGAGAGGGGAAAATATACCAGATAATATTAATCAAAATGAAAACATTTTTGAAAGCAAACCTAACACTCCGTATCTTTAAAATGAATTGTCTCATCCTGCAACCACTGTATACCAGGAGCTGTAGGCATGAACTGTCTTCGCTCTCTCAAACACTGGGATCGTGGGTTCGAATCCCACTCAAGGCATGGAAGTCAGTGTTATGTGCTTTTATTCTTTGTGCTGTTCTGTGTGTAGGTGGCGGCCTTGAGACGGCTGATTTTCCGTCCAAGGAGTCCTACCGATTGCGTATAGGATGAAGAAACTGAAATGAGCGAAGTCCCAACAAAGGGCTGTAGAGCCATAACAACAACAGCAACAATAATTATAGCAATAATAATAATAATAATAATAATAATAATAATAATAATAATAATAATAATAATGAAAAATGAGATTGCGTCATTAACAGGTAATGATATACAGGGTGATTCTAAATTATTTTCGAGTTTTCCGTGGCTTATAATTTTCAGACCGGAAGTAACAAAATAAAACTGCTCACGGAATATGAAAGTGTAACACAAAAATGTTTATTTGGCAACGCTGTATTCGCCGCATTGAGTTACACTTTCATACTCCGACCCCGACAGTAATTTAGAATCACTCTGTACACGGGTGCGTCAACCTTAGGAAGTTAACTAGTTTCTATTTTAAACATACTTTCGGTATTCATAAGCCAGTGGGATATTCAAACGTATATACAGCGGGCTTTTGTTCCCCAAGATTACGTACACAGGGTATGACGTGACCTACTTCATAGAGTAAATGTGCTATAGAAACGCGAGCCTAACCCTGCTCGCTGTGTTGTATTATTCAGAAGCCTCGCCGCGCAACAAGTCGCATTACAACGCGAATGTTTGCCTACGTTTCTAGGGGCGCTGTGTGCTTCTCTGTGGGATCTGAGTTACCTTCCGACGTGTGACGTCAGTAGTCCGATATTTGCCAGCGTCCGAGGAGGATCTTTTGCCTCCATCTTAAGAGCAGGTCTTCTGCCTTGAAGATAGACGCAAACAAATTGTCCGAAACACAGGTATCACTCTTCTGCATTACACGATGATACATCAAAGACCACAATAATCGTGGCAGGCGCAGCCATAGGATCCTCGAAAGGTAAAGGTAAAGCTATCCCTGTAAGAGGCCGTGGAGGCCCATAGGGTTGTGAGACGTCGAGGCTCCCACATTTTCTAGACAACCGGCATAAAGATGGCGGTGAGGTTGTCAGCCTTACGCGCTGGCCGCCCTTTGCCTCAGGAAGTTTCCTGGTACTAATTTCTGTTGGATGCTGAGTCGACCCTAGGGCCATAGTGCGGCTGGAAAGATTAGGACAATTGAAAAATCGTGAATCGAACCCTCGACCTTCCGGCTTGTAGCACAGTTCCTCACCCAACTACGCTACCGCGTTCCTCCAGGATCCTCCAAACGCGTGCAAAAAAACATTTTTTATATTCTGATTAAATTGGATCAATGAAAACAGTTTGTGTCATAACTACATGTTTCAGGAAGGCATAGAGGAAATTCTGCTTGTGCCTAAGGGCCACGTCATGAAGGTTCTTGGGAGGCTTGGAACTAAGGCCGTTCATATCCGCAGCAAACATGTCCGATTAGTTGAGCTCTCACTTGTGTTTCCCAATCGGGAATTCCGGAGTTCACGTGACTACTCCGAGTAAAGTTCTCTTGATTTTCTTCAGTGCCTTAGGCAAATGTCTGGATAGTGTATCAGATTACGCTACGTAAGTTTCCTTTCAGGGGGTAGGCGGTAGCGTAGTTGGTTGAGGTACTATGCTACAAGTAGGAGGATCGCGGGTTCGATTTCCGATGCGATCATTGGATTTTTCAATTGACCTAATCCTTCCAGCCGCACTATGGCCCTGGAGTCGACTCAGCCTCTAACAGAAATGAGTACCAGGAATAATCCCGGGGGTAAAGGACGGCCGGCGCGTAAGGCTGACAACCTCACCGCCATATGTAAGCCGATTGTCTAGAAAATATAGGAACCTCGACGTCTCAGAACCCTATGGGTCTCTACGGCTTCTTATGGGGATAACATTACCTTTATTTACACTTGCTTCAAAACTTTTTTAAATCATCGTTCACCAGCCTTCCTGCTTAATGGCTCGGTATAGCGGTATCGTTATTAACTTCTATTCGGGAGGTGATCGGTTTGAATCTCGTCCGCAACATCGTCTACCCTGAGGATTTCGTGGGTTTTCCTTGGTCTCTCCAGGAAAATTGTGGGACATACCTGGATTAGGCCACTTCGGTTTCCTACCAAGCGCTATCAGATTCATAATCCCTGATGAATCCACCCACTCTTTTGTAACGTGCTGACAGAATGATTAAATTTAGGCAAATAAGTAAAGTTGGTTCTGTGTTTAATCAAAACTGCACGCCATGAAATCGTGTGGAGTTTTGTAAGTCTGGTTCCACGCATTCTTATACACTGCACAGGAGACCGGGTGGGCCCCGGAGCTCTTCTGTACCCTGTCAAGAAGAGAAAAACCTCTTGCCCCTGCCGGGAATCGAATGACGATTCTCTGCTCGTCTAGTCCATTACTCTTCGCTGTACTGAAACAGACATGACACGTCCTCTTTAAACAACGCGTGAATAATGAAATAATATAAATAAATAAATACGACGTCCAGACCGGCTCTCGAAACCTTCCAGGCGCTTATATTTGTGTCTCTCGGAGGTAACGCAGTCAGATACTGGGACTGAATGACCGGTTCTTGATTTTACTCAGCACTTCCTTTCTGCTGCTTATGTTATACAACATCGAAATATTGCGACTTGTGAATGATGAATCTAAAAGCATGTGAAATGAAATGCTCTTATTGTAAAGTAAAGGTACTCTTTCAGCATTCTTCTGAGGAAACTGAGGGAAACCACGGAAGATATTAGTCAGAATAGGCGGTTGCCG